CCAGCCTCTTTCACGGCGCCCTTGGCCTTCCTCCCGCAACAACACCACATCCACACCCCGAGCAAATGCTCAGTACTGGGTGACCGGTGACACCGGCGGTCCTCTCTGCTGTCTGCAGAGTCTGCCGCGCAGTCTCTGCCACGTTGTCACCGAGACGTTGTGCCTGCAGCGAGAGGGAGGCAAGGAGGAGGAGAAGAACCGGGCCAGAAAGACTGTGAGAAACTGTCAAGATGACAGAGATAAGGGGAGGGAGACAGAGAGAGAGAGAGAGCTGGAGACTATGGCTTCGTAAAGTGTGCAATGCTTTGCATTCACATCGAGCCGGTTGGGATCTGAACATGCTGCAAGGCGTGTGTTGAGCTTTGTCTAGTTTCGCCGCCTCCAGAAGGCACTAGGCCTTCTTGGCGCAAGATCACTGAAGGTTGCACCAGTAGCAGGAGTCTCCCGGCACATTCTGCGGCCTAAAAACTCGACAAGAGAGGTAGAGGGCGAGAGGTAGAGCAGGAAGAGCGAGAGGGAGGGCAGGAGGGTAGGTGAGAGCGGGATGGCACATACATGAGGGCAGGCCTCGCTCTGGGCGAGGTCCAGGAGCTCCTTGGCGAGGCCGGTAGCCGCCGGCACATCGCGGCCGAGCCACTCAGAGAGCCTCGCGGCTGGCACAAACGTCGCTGGCTGCGAAGCTGCTGGGAGGGGAGGAAACAGGAAAAAGGAGAACACAAACCGGGCGCGGCGCTGCTCCCGGACTGCCGGGATCTCCGTGAGGGCTGCAGCGATCACCGGCGCAGCCTTCGAAAAAGCTAGCAGCTAGACCTGCGGTCCTGTTGCCCTGCGAAGCGAACGGCCCTCTCAGCCAAATCCCAGAAAAGCAGTATAAGTACGACTTCACATTGCTTCCTACATGTCACATAGGGAATAGGTAAGTCAAGCACCCAACCCGGTATCGCTAAACCCTAAACCGCGATCTGCTAAAGGCACGTTTCAAGGCCCACCATTTCTGGTCGGGGGGGAGGGGTGTCAGGCTCGGCTGCG